ATGTTCATATCTCATCTATCTATCTATCTATCTATATATATATATATATATATATATATATATGTCTTGATCTGTTCATATCTATCTATCTATCTATCTATCTATCTCAGTCTGTTAATATCTATCTATCTATCTATCTATCTATCTATCTATCTATCTATCCATTCTATCTGGCTGGCTGGCTGGCTGTCTAACTGGCTGGCACACTGAATATCGTTTTATACATTAAATTCCCCCTTTAGTTTCTACAAACCATTTTTCTAGAATTGCCATTTCCATTAATGTTTCCCTAGAATTACAAATACCATTAAAATAAACTAGACACACCAGCCACAAAATGACAGTAACTATTGTCTTTGAGGGAGAAAATCTGAAATCACGATGTATCTGAAGTTGGTTAAAAAAGACCTGAAAATATGTACAGCAGGATAGGAACTGCCATAATGTTCAATATTGCTGCTAAATCAAGTCTGGTATTTCTGTTTGATCTCTAGAGATTCTTGAGAAAATACGAGGAATAATCTGCAACATCATTGGTTATGACCTGGCATCTCGGCTTCAGTTTCTTTCTCATCGATCTAAACGTAACTTCCCTTTGGCTTTCCTATAAACATTCTCTTTATAATTGTTCTGATTAACTTTCCACGTGGCTATACAAGATTAAGTGAAGTATCAGATTGGCTTCTAGATGTAACCGTAAATTCTATGCTAATAGTTTATTCACCTGTATTTATCGTTTGTGTAGCTCTTTCTCCATCTTTCTGTTTTCCTGACAACTATGATCTTCAGAAATTTAAATGCTATTTCTGACATCATCTGACTCCCTGGAGTCTATTCTTTTATTTGCATTATCTGTTTCTTTCAATCTCCGTAACATGCTCCATCTTAGTATTAAATAGTTTGGGATGGAATAATTAAGAGAAAACATGGAAGCAACATGCTATATCTACGAGAAGCTGCTGAAAACATTCTTGACCTGGTCAAGAAAGGATGTGGTATGTATTATCTGCCGTTATACATTGTATGTATTTATAGATCACGACAGATATTAGAGTGATGTGATTAAATATAATTTAATGTTTAAAACAATATTCAGTATTATTACTGTTTAGGTAATAAGCATTATAATATAACACAAATCGCTATATTGTGGAAAAAGGAAATTTCTACAATATACGTTGTTGACATTAAGCCTTTGAGCCCTGACCACCGCTTTACCGTGACCAGAAGCGTTAAATTGTTCATGAACGCAAGGGTTAATAGCTGTCTGCTGATGGTCTTCTGTATTTATCGTTTGTGTAACTCTTTTCCCATCTTTCTACTTTCCTGGCAACTATAATCTTCAGGAATTTAAGTGCTCTGCTCATCGTTTTTGCTTTGGTTTGGTCCGTTTTATGGCATATCACCAACAATGGGTTATTTAATGCCGTCAAAATTTTTATTGCTGCTAATATTTTTTCCTCAAAAATATATTGCTGGGAATATTTTTCCTTTAAAAATGTACTCCTGGTAATAATGTATCTATCTATCTAATTTGATCTCTTCATATCTATCTATCTCTCTTTCTCTCTATATATATATATATATATATATATATATATATATATATATATATATATATATATACTGATCTGTTCATATTCATCTATCTATCTATCTATATATATATATATATATATATATATATATATATATATCTTGATCTGTTCCTATCTATCTGTCTATCTTGATCTGTTCAAAAAATGTATTGCTTGTGTAAGACCTATTTTTACATTTTCATAGTGCTTTAACCCCAGGTTAAAATTTGGGATGAAATGATTTTAAAAGATATGGAAACAACATACTATATCTACGAGAAGGTGTTGAAGACATTCTTGACCTGGTCAAGAAAGAATATGGTATGGATTATCTGCCCTTGTAATTGTAGTAGACAAAAATGACGTAATGCGCAGAAGGGTTAAAATTGTTCAGTAACGCACGTCTCAAAGGGTTAATAGCTATCTGCTGATGTTCTCCTGTATTTATCGTTTGTATAACTATTTTTAAATCTTTCTACTTTCCTGGCAACTAAGATCTTCACAAATTTAAATGCTCTGTCTATCGTCATCTGACTCCGTGGAGCCTGTTCTTTTATTGTCCTATCAGTTTCTTTCAATTTCCGTAATCTGCAGCATCCTAGTAGTGAATAGTTTGGGAGGAAATGCTTTAAAAAAAAAAAAAACATGGAAGCAATATACTATATCTACGATAACGTGCCGAAGACATTCTTTACTTGACCAAGAAAGTTGGTGGTATATAAATTTGTAAAATCTGAGGAATTAGTCTATCTATCTATCTATCTATCTATCTATCTATCTATCTATCTATCTTGTACTCAGAATGTCGTTTTTTTCATAAAATTCCACCTTTAGTTTCTATTAGGTTGGTTGCAAAATAATGACGTAATAATGTCGTTTTTGACGTATTTTTTAACGTCAAAAAACGACATTCTCACGTCATTATTTTTGCACCAACCTAATACAAATCCTTTTCACATCATATTTTCCTAGAATTACCAGTTACATTAAATTAAACTAGACCTACCACCCACAAGACAGCAACAGCTGACTCTGGGGGCGAAAATAGTTCGATTGGAAATCACGATGTACCTGAAGTTGGCTCAAAAAGGGCCGGAAAAGCAAGGACAAAAGGATAGCAAATGTTTTAATGTAAAGATTGTTCAAACGATTTCGGTTTGACTTTTTAAATATATGCTCTGGATACAACTATTTTGGGATTCCTGCTAGACAGGAAAGAAAAAAAAATAGACTGTGATAAAGAAAATAAGACCTGCTATTTAGTGGATATGGCTGCATATAGGGAATGAGGCGAATACTCAAGAAGATGTAAAATTTGAAGAATATGCTAAGACCTCGCCTGGGAACGCATTAAAAAAGAAGAAGAAGAAGAAGAAGAATAAGAAGAAGAAGAAGAAAACGTAGTAGTAGTAGTAGTAGTAGTAGTAGAAGAAGAAGAAGAAGAAGAAGAAGTAGAAAAAGAAGGAAAAGTAGAAAAAGAAGGAAAGGTAGTACTAGTAGTAGTAGGAGGAGGAGTAGAAGAAGAATTAACAGTAGTAGTAGTAATAGAAGAAGAATTAGTAGTATTAGTATTAGAAAAAGAACAAAAAGAAGGAAAAGTAGTAGTAGAAGAATTAGTAGTAGTAGTAGTACAAGAAGAAGAAGAAAAAGAAAAGTAGTAGAAGAATTAGTAGTAGTAGTAGGAGGAGAAGGAGTAGTAGAAGAAGAAGAAAAAAGAAGGAAAAGTAGTAGAAGAAGAATTAGTAGTAGTAGTAATAGAAGAAGAAGAAAAGAAGAAAAAGAAGTAAATGATAAAGAATTATTATTAGTAGTAGTGGTAGTAGTATTAAAAGAAAAAGATGAAGGAGAAGAAGAAGAAATGAAGAAGGATGACAACAATACGAATGAGGAAGTCCGTAAAAGAGCAAAATATGATATGATCTAAGAATATGAAAATGGTGAAGAAGAACAATGTGTAAGTCAAGAAAATACTAAGACCTTGCCTGCAAACGTATTGAATATAAAGGAGGTTAGAATAGTTGAATTTCATGGTTATGTTCCAGAAGGCATTGGTAAAAAGAGATTGGCTGAAATAAGAAATGTAGGGAAATATCGAAGGTTTTCTGACTACGGCAGAGAAGAAGAAGAAATGAAGAAGTTTAACAACAATACGAGAAAGGCTGTTTAAATGAGAGTAAAATAAGAAAACTGAACGTGAAAGAGATAAAAATGATAATGTGTAAGTAAAGATGAAGAAGAAGGAATAAATGAAGAAGAAGAAAATGGCGAAGAATTACAACAAACAAATGAAGGACGAAAAAACTAAAAGAAAACAAGAACTCAGAAAAAAAGGGAAAGAGAAAACATAAAAGTTGAAGAAAAAGAGGAAGAATTTAGAAAAGAAAAGAAATAAAGTTGTACAGAAATAGTCTGAAATCGATATTTGAGGAATCATCGAAATGTGAATGACAACGGAAAGAAGAAGAAAACGAAGAAGATAAGAAAAAGAAGAAGAAGATAAGAAGAAGAAGAAGAAGAATGTGTAAATGAATAAAAAAGAAGCAAGTCATGAAAAAAAGAACGAGTAAATAGGGATAAAAGAATATAAAGAAAAAGAATGAGAAAATGATGAAAAATTAAAGCAACAACAAAATGGAGGATCATTTGAACAAAAAAAAAGTGGACGGCAAGGAAGAAGTTTAGAAGATGAAAGAGACAATATCAATTTTGAAGTAAAAGAGGAAAACACTTAGAAAAGAAAAAAAATAATGAAGAGATTGAATGGAATTGAAATGTGAGGAAGCATAGATGTTTTTTTGACTATTATTAGTAGAAATAATAGAAGAAGAAGAATTATTATTAGTAGAAGTAATAGATGAAGAAGAAAAAAAAATAGTGGTAGAAGGAAAAAAAAGGAAAAAAAGAATTATTAGTAGTAGAAGTAGAAAAAGAAAAGTGTAGTAGTAGAAGAATTAGTAGTAGTAGCAGTAGTAGTAGAAAAACAAGAAAAAAATTAGTAGAAGAAGAAAAAAAAGAAAACGAATTATTAGTAGTAGAAGGAGAAGAAGAATAAGTAGTACAAAAAAAGAAGTAAAAGAAGAAAAAATCAAAGTAGAAGCAGACAAAGCAAAGAATTATTAGTAATAATAGGAGAATAAGAAAAAATTGAAGAACAGTTAGTAGTAGTAGAAGTTAAAGATTAGGAAAAATAGGAAGAATTAGTATTAGTACTAGTACTAGTAGTCGTAGTAGTAGAGGTAGAAGGAGAAAACTGAAAACAAGCAGGAGAAAACAAAGATGAAAAAGGAAAGAATTAGTAGTAGTAGTATTAGAAAAAATAAGAAAATGTAGAAAAAAAATAGTAATAATAATAATAAGAAGAAGAAGAAGAAGAAAAAGAAGAAGAAGAAGAAAGTAGAAGAATTAGTAATAATAGAAGAAAAATCAGTAGGAGAAGAAGAAGATAAAGGAGAAGAAGAAGAAGAAAAGAAAAAGAAAAGTAGGAAAAGACAAAGAAGTAGAGGCAAAAGAAGAAATAGTATTAAACAAGAAAATGTAGAAGAATAAAAAATAATGATGAAGGAAGAGAAACATACGAATGAGGAAGTCCGTAAAAGAGCAAAATAGGATATTATCTAAGAATGTGAAAATGGTGAAGAAGAACAATGTGTAAGTCAAGAAGAAGAAAACCGTGAAGAAAGAAGATCGAGTAAATGAAAAAAAGAAAAAAAAAATGGAGAAAAATGAAAAAAAGTGGTGACAATGATAGAACAAGTTAGAATGGAGAATTAAAACAACAACAAAACAACCAAAACAAGAACGACAATAACAAAAGTTCAGTAGAATAAAAAGAAAATGAAAATTAAAAAATAAAAAAATGAAGGAAAAGGGGAAGAATTTAGAAAAGAAAAAAAAATTACATAAAGCAGTAAGAAATACGATGAGAATAAAGACGTAAAAAAAAGAAGAAAAAAAGAGAATCTGACTTCTGAACCTTGTTCGTTCCCTTTCATTTATAAATCGAAAGTTTTTTTCCCATACGTTATCGTGCAGAACCTCTACCATTACCTCCTACTTTTCCCCTCTCCTTTCATCCGTCAGCCAATTCCAACCCTCTTTTTCTTCTTATTCTTCTCTACAATCATTCTCCTTCTCCCAAAGCTTTCCACGACCACACCCTATTCCACCCTATTCGCTAACCTACATTCTCACGCCACCCTCTTCTGTACCCTACATGCCTGTAAACTTACCCGTAATTTCTTTTTCATGCAAGAATTACGTCCTTTAAGTTGATACCCTGTACGCATCCGACAATTATTATGTAATCTACAGAAAGATTATTGGTCCCGACAGCGAAGAATGGACTAATAAAAAGAACGAAATTCGTGGTGGGGGAGGGCTATTCTGGCTTGGTGTGGGTTGTGGGGACAGGATAGAAAGAAAAGATTAAAACGAAAAAAGAAAAATAAGAAAATGATTTATTATTAACCCTATCAAGTGTGGTTGTTCTTGGCGTAAATATGAATATATTAACAAAAAAAGTATATATATATATATATATATATATATATATATATATATATATATATATATATATATATATATATATATATATATATATATATATATAAGTTCAGTAGCCGGTATATAGATAGCAACATAAAAAAAAGTCCGTCCGTATTAAGGAAAAATAAATGATGCCATTTTTTATTTATTTACGACGTTAACCTTTTCAAACAAGATGCTCAACGTTTTGTTGCAGTATTTCCTGTCACTTTTCGAGCTATTTCATACTAATCAGAACTTGGTTTTATCTTTCTCAAAAATACAAAAAAAAAATCTATTTTAGGTGAATTTTGTAGCCCCCCAGGCAACTGCTTTTTTTTTCATTAAGATAGGAAACAGCGCTAAAGTTATTTGAAAAATAGCCAGGTCCCTGTACCGCTCCAGTTCCCTGTACCTGACAACTCCTGCTATGCCCTAATATTACAGAAGCCAGACCAGACAGAAAATGCAATACTGTTGCCATGTAGCTTCATATCTTGCACTTCCCGTCTGTGTAACTCCCTTCCTCTTTACTTACTTCCCTGATAGTTAAAATTTTCAATTATTCAAATGCAATGTCATTCGACATTTCTGGATGCCTTGATGTATTCCGCGTCCTGGTCTTCATCCTTTCCTCTATCAAGCCTCTTTACTCTTGCGTCCACACTCTGTAACCTCATACGCGCAAGTGGCACTCTCGCCTTTCTTGGGGGGAAGCTTAAATATATATATATATATATATATATATATATATATATATATATACATTGTGTGTATTTAGGCAGCATCTTTTCATTCATGCACTTGTCTATATTATTTAATGAAACGTGTATGAATATATATATATATATATATATATATATATATATATATATATATATATATATATATATATATATATATTAGTAATAGTAGTAATAATAATATAAGGATAAGAAGAAATTATACTGTCCGAAAAACCTTCGGTGTCTTGATTTGCGAATAAACAAACCAATACCAAAGGGGAAAAAAGTATATAAAAAAGAAAGAACCAAAACATGTACGTTAGCCGAAAATAATCGTCTGGCATGCAAGTCCAAAGTCCAAAGAAAAAAAACCGGTACGAGTAAGCAAAAATAACTAGTTAAAGTGCTCAATACAATGAGTAGAGCAGAACTAGTTAAACGTTGAGAGTTGACAAACCTACCAAGGTTTCACATAAGCGGATCGTCAGTGAAGGCTTAGCTTTCCCTGAGGATCCGCTTAGGTGAAAACCTTGTAGGTTTGTCTGGCACTCTACGTTTAACTATATATATATATATATATATATATATATATATATATATATATATATATATATATGGGCTGGAGCTGCTCAGTTTTTGCTTTCATGTCTAAAAATGCCTATGTGCCCTTTTCCGCAATGAAATATTTCCCACCATAGAATTCCTTAACTAGAGACAAAACAAGTCTCACATTATTCTATCGGTATTCTCGTGGAAAATATTCAGATGAGCTACATTCTATAGACCTCGCCTAGTTTTAACCTACCCAGGTAAAACCCACCACGCGGCGTGTATTGAAGTGAAACATCCTAATTATCTTCGTATTTCATTAGTAATGAAGAAGTTCCAGACAGATATCGTTTTACCAAAACTCTTGCTTTGAGGAACAGAATTCCAAAAGGAAGCTTTTCTGGCCACCACAATCTTAACCTCTACAAGGCTAAAGTTCAACGTCATCTTTCCCACATATATTAATAAACTGCGCCCCTTATTCTTACGGTAAACCCAAAACTGCCTTCAGTAGACATCTGCATTCAAGTACCATTAGATTTTTAATGGGGGAACATTAGTAAAAAATAAAAAAAGAGAGAATTCTGTATAGTACAACAGGGTAGGAACGGTCATATTCTAAGAACAGTGCAAGTGATTTTGTTTGAATCATGTAAATATATATGGGTACGTGACCGAGTGGTTAGAACGTTCTCATTCAGACAATGATATTCGGGTTCGAATCTCACCGATTTGTCAGGCAGGAGATCCTTGATATTATCGGACTGGAAAGATCGATCCCGGCGTGCGGGATCTTTGGAAAGTGCCTGAAAAACCATACCACGTGTTGACCCAAGCCTTGTTAGTATAATTGGGTAAACGGAACCCTTAGGGGCCATCGATAGCTGTCATCGACACAAGTCATCGTGGTCGAGGTTTTGAGTGTGCTGGCCATGTTCAAATTGTCGATCACTCTAGATAACACGCTCTTTCCCAGAAACTCTAACTAAGATCTGCTCATCATAGTCGCAGTATAAACTACAGGTTGGTTCTGTGGGTGTTGAATAAACACAGATGCTCCTGAAGAAGCGTCTGAAATAGGCATTGGCTAACCACCCTCGTAGAGGGGTATCTTCGAATAGGAGTGACCAGCTATACATAAAATAAACAAAATAGTGCTTGCCCTGTCCCGCGCCAGGAAATTTTTCTCTCCGGAATCGATCCTCCAGATCTACAAATCAACAATTCGCCCTTGCATGGAGTACTGCTGCCATATATGGTCTGGGGCCTCTTCTGTTTGCCTCGGAGTTCTTGATAAGATCCAGAGGCGGATATGCAATATAATTGGCCCTACTCTTGCATCTCGTCTACAGTCACTTTCTCACAGACGCGCCGTCGCCTCTCTCTGTCTTTTTCTCAAATACTTTCATGGCAATTGCTCCGAGGAGCTGCATTCGCTGGTTCCCAGACTTCATGAGTTCAATCGTCCTACGAGGCTGGCATCCCGCTCTCACCCCTTCACTGTCGAAACTTCTAAATGTAGCCGTCTCTTCTATTCCAATAGCTTCAACTCCCGCACCTCTCGCCTGTGGAACACCCTTCCCTATTCCAGTTTCACTGGGAGCTATAATCTCCAGCTATTCAAATGTAATGTCAATCGACATCTCCAGTTGCCTTGATCTATCTACTATCCTTCTCCTCATTCTTTCTTCTATCACTCCTATCTGATCTTGCTCCAAATTTTCTGTAACCCCTTGCGTCCTAGTGGCTTTCCGCCTTGCTTGGGGTGAAACGCTTAAAAAAAAAAAACAACAAAAAAATAAACGTAGACAAGAAAATAAGACCCTGTCATATAGTGGACATAGCAGCAACAACAGAGTGATTTGTCAAGAAAGTGTAAAATTTGAAGAATATATTAAGACCTTGCCTGGGAACGCATAAAATAATACAAAATATGTTAAAGTCAAACCTATGATAGTTGGATCAACATGGGTACGTGCCAAAAGAATTGGTACAGAGATTGACTGAAATAGAAATAGTATTTCCATAGTGAGTGGTTGCACATGGTAAAAAAAGGGAAAAAAAGCGAAAACGACTTTCGACGTGGTTCTACTGATGAAAGCTAAGAAAACCATGAAGAAAATATATGAGAAAAGGGGAAGATTTCAGTGAAACTGAACAGCAAGTAAACATATATATACAATCAGAAAGAGACAGCAGAAATTTGAAAGCGCTATTAGCTAAAGATGTCTTTCAGAAACTGAGCAAATTATTAAGAGATAGGAAAATATAGTTAGAAAGGAAGATAGGAATATCAAATGCTGTATAATATCCAATCATCTACGCCCTTGTGCAAATTAATTGAAACAAAACAAATAATTCCGTTATTATTTACCTTTTTTTGCATTTTTCCAATGAAACATGACACATATTAGTACTTCGTATGTCCATTCCATGAAGTCGTTCCTTGCAGACTGACCACAGATTCTCGATTGGATTTAAATCAAGAGAGTTTCCGGGTCACTCTATAGTACTTTAACTTACTCACTGGTAAGGCTTGCCAGTGTGTTTGTGCAGCGTTACAATATTCGTAAGCCTCCTTGGGGTAAAGTCCATCGCAGACAACGGGCGTAGGACAATTAATCGACAGTCGAGACAATAGTGTTTGGACGTGATAAACATCTGATGCAATCACGGATGACGCAATATTTTTCAAGGCCAAACAAATTTCATCATACACCCCGAAAATAGATTGATATTACTGCACACCATTGCAAATGACCTAATCTGAGGAACAAAAATAGAAATCGATTACACCCTGTCACTCTAGGCCTAAAAATGGCCGTATGGTGAAGGAAAGGAAACTAAAGCGGTTGTTTTCAATTAATTAGCACTAGGATGTATATGTTAGTGAATGGTGGGTCAAAGGTGAAGGAGAGACACGAATCGAGACAATGATGTTCTATTGAAGAATGCTAAGAAAATAAACAAGGACACATGGCCAAGTGGATAAATATGTTGGTTGGATCCAGGGACTTGACTCAAAGAGTTTTAGGTACAATATCTGAATATTGTAATAATGAACGAAAACTGGAATAGTTGAGTTAAAGGGAGATAACTGAGACACTCGGAAGAAGTGTGACACGTGGAACTAGAACATTCTACCCCGGTGAACGATATAAATGCTTCATTTCGAAATTACAATTAACTGTAGGAGGTGAATTTTGACAATAAATATGAGGCCAACTGTCCGAACAATGTAAATTA